AGTCGAGAAGTCGAAAAATCGAGAAATCTAAATAGCCCAAAATCGAAAAATTAAAAATAGAAAAATTTAAAAATTTAAGATTGGGAGAACTAAATAATGGAAAACTCTAAACGTTAAAATCGCGATAAATCGAGAAATCGAAAAACTGAAAAAGTGATAAATCGAAAAGGCAAAAATAGAAAATTTGAAAAATCGAAAAATCTAAAACCGATAAGTTTGTAAAATCGAAAGATCGAGAAATCGAAACATCATATAATTGAAAAATCTATAATTTAAACATTCGAAAAATTGAAAAATAGAAAAATCAAAGAACCGAGAGATCGAAAAATCGAAACATCGAAAGGAAACATCGAGGAATCGAAACATGAATAGATCGAGAAATCGAAAATTGGAGAAGTCGAAAACAGAAACATCGAAATAGCCCCAAATCGGAAAATTAATGATTGAAAAATTTTATAAATTAATATTAAAAAAATTTAATAATCGAATAATTGAAAAATCGAAAAATTAAAACATTGAGAAATCGAAAAGCGGAGTAGTCAAAAAAATCTTTAAATCGAAATAACCCAAAATTGAAAAATTAAAAGTGAAAAATTTAATCAGTGAACATTAAAAAATTGAATATTTCGAATAATCAAAAAATCAAAAAACTGAGAAACCGAAAAATCGTAACATCGAAAAATAAAAACTCGAGAAAAAAATCAAGAAATCGAAGAGTCCAGACGTCGAAATTTCGATAAATCGAGAAATCGAAAAACTGAAAAAGTGATAAATATAAAAGTTATATCTAACTCGAAAAATTGAAAAACCGCAAAAATCTAAAAAGTCGTAAAATCGAAAGATCGAGAAATCGGAACATCATCTAAAATTTAAAAATTCGAAAAATTGAAAAATAGAGAAATCGAAGAACTGAAAAATCCAAAAAGCGAGAAGTTGAATAATTTAAAAACGAAAAAACCAAAATACCTACAAAAAGTCGAAAAATTGAGAAATGGAGGACTTGAAAATTCTCAGAACTTAGACGTCGAAATATTGGGAAAACGAAAAGCTAAGAATCCAAATATCGAAAAATTGGAAAAACGAAAAATCGAAAAACTGAAACATTAGGAAATCGAAATATGAGAAGATCGAGACATCGAAAAGTCAAGAAATAGAAAAATTGAAAAATCGGATTAGCCCAAAATCCAAAAATCAAAAATTTAAAAATTCAACATTAAAAGCATTGAATAAATTGAATATCGAAAAATCGAGAAGTCGAAATAGCTCAAAATCGAAAAATTAAACACAAAAATTTAAAAATTTAACATAAAGAAAAATAAATATCGAATAGGTGAGACGTCGAAATCGCGATAAATCGAAAAACTGAAAAAGTGATAAATCAAAAAGTTAAAAACCTAAAAATTTGAAAAACCGATAAATCTAAAACCAATAAGTCGTAAAATCAAAAGATTGAGAAATTGAAACATCATATAATTGAAAAATCTAAAATCTAAAAATTCGACACATTGAAAAGTAGTAAAATCGAAGACCTGAAAAATCGAAAAACCGAGAAATTAAATAATTGAAAAATTGATAAATCAAAACATCAAGAAATCGAAAAATGGAATAATTTAAAAACAAAAAATCGAAAATACAAAATCTCAAAAAAATGGAGAACTTGAAAAGTCCCAAAACTTAGAGGTCAAAAAACTGGGAAATCGAAAAGCTGAGAAATTCAAACATCGACAAACTGTAAAAACGAAAATTCGAAAAACTGAAACATTAGGAAATCGAAAGACGAGGGGATCGATAAATCGAAAAGTCAAGAAATAGAAAAAATGCAAAATCGAAGTAGCCCTGAATCGAAAAATCAAACCAAAAATTGAAAAATTAAAAAATTCAACATTAAAAAAAATAAATAATCGACCAGACGTCAAAATCGCGATAAATCGAGAAATCGAAAAACTGAAAACCCAAAAAATCGAAAACCGATAAATATCGAAAAGTCGAGAAGTCGAAACATTATATAATTGAAAAATTTTAAATTTGAAAATTCGAAACATTGAAAAATAGAAAAAATCGAAGAACTGAAAATTCGAAAAACCTAGAAGTTGAATAAATGAAGAATTGAAAAATTGATAAATCGAAAAATTGAATAATTTAAAAACGAAAAATCCAAAATACAAAAAGTCGAAATATTGAGAAATGGAGAACTCCAAAATTTAGATGTCGAAAAACTGGGAAATCGAAAAGCCGAGAAATTCAAACTTTGAAAAATTGGAAAAACGAAAAATCGAAAAACTGAAACATTAGAAAATCGAAAGATGATAAGATCGAAAAATTGAAGTAATCCAAAATCGAAAAAAACAATAATTGAAAAATTTAACAATGTAACATTAAAAATATTGAATAATCGAATTTCTAAATATCGAAATTGTAATAAATCGAAAAATGCCAAAACTAAAATGTCGAAATACTGGGAAATGGAAAACATCGAAAAATTGAAACAGAGAAATCGACACATCTTATATTTAATTGAAAAATCTAAAATTATAAATTCGAAACATTAAAAAATAGAAAAATTGAAGAACTGAAAAATCGGTAAGTTGAATAATTGAAGAATTGAAAAATTGATAAATCGAAACATCAAGGAATCGAAAAATTGGAGAAATTAAAAACGAAAAATCTAAAATACACAAAAAGGCGAATAACTGAAAAGTGGAGATATTGAAAAATCTCAAAACTTTGATGTCGAAAAATTGGGAAATCGAAAAGCTGAGAATTCGAAACATCGAGGAATTGTGGAAAAACGAAACATTTCCTAATGTTTCAGAGAAAATCTCTACGAGAAGATCGAGAAAAAGAAAATTCGGCAAATTGAAACCGTAAGTCCAAAAAGTGAAAGATCGAGGAATCGAAAAATGCCAAAACTAAAATGTCCAAAAACTGGGAAATCGAAAACATCGAAAAATTGAAACATCAAGAAATCGAAACACGAAAAGACCGAGAAGTCTAAAAAACGGGAAATCAAAGTAGCCCAAAATCGAAAAGAATTCGAGTAAGAATTCGAAAAATTAAAAGATGGAGGGATTGAAACATCAAGAAAATGAAAAATCTATAAGTTAAAAAGTCGAAAGACTGAAAATTAGAAAAATTGAGCGACTGAAAAATAGAGAAATCGAAAAATTAAAATTTCGTCTCATTGAAGAATCGAGAAATCGAAATATCAAAAAATAGAAAAATTGAGAAATCGGAAAATCGAAAAATCGAAAACTTCAGTTGAAACACTAAAAAATCAGAAGTCGAAAAATCGACATATCGAAAAGTCGAGAAAATGAGAAATGGGAAAATAAAAAAATCGAAAAATCGATTAATCGAGATCTTGAAAATTCGAAAATTTAAAATTGCCGGAAAATTGAGACTTCGGGACACTGAAAATCGAGAAATTGATGAATCAAAAAACTAAAAATTTTCAAAAATAAAATATCTAAAGTTGAAAAATATAGAATTCGAAAAAAGCTCGATGTCTAGGACAAAAATTCAACACGGATTCATAAACCACAAGTTACAAGGACTGTGTTACTTTTTAGCATTTAAATAACGTTATTTGATAAAGTTGTAAGATGACATCATCAATGGGAGTCGAAAAAACATGAAAGTAACAAGTCGCCCGATGGACTCGATTACAATACTTCCTTCGCTGATGTCTCCGCAGTTAGAGCAAGATAAAAAACATTTGATTTCAGTGTCGTTGCCGCTTATATTTATATTTACTATTTACTTTATCTTATCGCTGCTCCACAAATTATGCATGGTGTTGATAGATAAAAATCATATTTGGCAAGCACTGAAGTAGCGGTTAATCAAAACAAAAATGTGTCACCTTGAGCAAACAAAATCAATGAAATTTGTACGCGCTTAAAAGTCGAATTCTTTCGAAGTATAAACATAAACAGTCGAAGTTAAGCATGTACGGAGAATACATTTGTTGGATACACCCTGCCTGTACTTTAACAGTTACTTGTATTTGTTCGGCAGCACTTTTTCCCTTGTGAAATCAAACAAGTTTCATTTTTCTCCAATATTTTTGTAGTCATTAGTTTCATTGTGTGTATATCCACAAAACTTCGGACGACGAACCCTAAAACCTCGTTCATGAAAATTCATGGGGCCTCAACCTTGAACTCTGAGGTATTCCCGGTTTTGTACATAAACAAAACAACAATGGTTGCATAGGAACTAAATCGAAAATCAGGAAATAATAACAGTAATGATAATTTATACATAATACGAGAGTTTTGGAGATTATTTGTCTAGTAAAAATCGATACAGAAAACCGACACTCGACCGACAGAAAATATGAACTTGTTAGGAGCAAACAGTAAACTCTAAAGTGAATAAGTTAATAAGTTTGTGTCGGAATTTTTTTGTTAAAGCTCCATCCCGAGTTGGTTTGTACAAAGGTAAATATCCTTTGCTACATCACCAAAGATAATTAATTATTTTTAGAGTTGAAATACTTTGAAACAAATTCCGGGCCAATTTGTAGATCGCCTTCAGCAAAAAAAAATCCTAATTTCAATGTACCCGAGCAAACGACTTTAGCCATGGGGAAAGTGACACACCGAACAACAAATATTAGAAATTTATTTTTAGCCCCTTTGAAGGGGTTGTGACCCGGGGCGCTCATTTTCCATTGTTCATAATGAAAAAATCTTACTTATTAACAACGTAAATAAATCCACCGTTTTCCCAGGCCATAATGAACTTCACTGAATAATTATAAACAGCAGCATCTCAAGTTTATAAACAAAATTTACTGAAGAACTGTTATTCCGAACAAACAAGCACTTTGTCGATGCAAGAAGGTCGTGACAGCGTTTAACGTCTAGCTGTGACCTTGACGTGGCCCAAAATGGCTGCCGCTAGCTGTTCCCGAAGTTTCCGTTTTATGCAAATCAAATTAGAAAGCAACACGTCAAAACTTAATCAGTACGAGTGACACTGCTGTTCCTACTCACTTGGAAACTTATAGAACGGCACCGACAAGCAACTGATGGTGTGAATACTCCGGGAGTTGGGGTCATGTTGGTCCGGGGAACACGTACACATAGAGTTGAAGCCGCAACTGTTTGACTGGAGGGCGTAAATTCGAACCAGCTGGACCATTAGACTTGTCCATACTAGAAGCATTGTATCTGGAAAGAAAACAACACTGTTTTATTAAGTGCAAGGGGAATTGTCACGGACTGACGCTGACGGAAATGGATTGCTCTTAGATTAAATTCCGGAAGGTGATGTCTTCATCTTTTCTAGTTTCACTTAGTTTTGTCATATATTATGTACATGTCGGGAGAAAGAGGGCGCTGGGAAGATGATGTCTGCGAGGATGCAGTTTTGCAATTACTGTTTTAGTTTTTTTAAATTGGAGAAATCGTGAGCGAAATTATTAAAGTACTACATGTAGTGATTGAGATTATCATGGGAATGCAGTTTGCTACACGAGTCATAGATGAGTGTGATCATTACTATCTTTGAACTAACTAAAATCTAATGTGATGTAATATTTAATTTAAAACTACTAAATATAAAATGGAGTAGGAATGAATGCACTTACGTACGTCTAACTTTTGCACAAGTGCATCAGAAACTTCAGAAGGAAAAGTGTGCCAATAATAAAGATATGATTCTTTAAAAGCGATATGACGCAAAGTGCTAATATGTGATTTTCCTAGCAAATATTTGAAAATTGTTCAAACTTTCCATTGACTAGATATCAGACTTCGTGATAAAAACATGTTGAATTAAATATTTACCAATATTACTCGTACAACACTGGGAAATCATTGTCGGAAATCATCTATACAGAGAATTATTTTAAGGCCGGATATTTATTTATTGCAAACATACGAAATTCGCAAAGTTCAAAACCCATGGCAATTTTTTAAGCTTTCACTTCGAAATTTTTCAATTTTTAGCTTTTATGATTTTTCAACTTTCAGAAGTCTTAATTTTTCGATTTTGGTTTTTCGTTTGTTCAGTTTTTGGATTTTTAGAATTTCCATTCTTCAGTTTATTGATTTGCCATTTTTAGAGTTTTCAATTTTAAATTTTTCAGTTCTTCGAATTTTCAGCTTTTGACGTATTAAATTTTTCGTTTCCAAAATTTTCCAATTTGTAATTTCTCGAGTTTTAAATCTTTACTTTTAAATTTTTCAGCTTTTGAACTTTAGAATTCTTGGGTTTTGAGATTTTTTGATTTTTAAATCTTCAGATATTTCAACTGTTTGATTTTTCGAATTTTCGTTTTCAAAATGTTTCAGTTTGTGATTTCTCCGGTTTTCAATTTTATATTTTTCAACTTTTCGGCTTTTGAACTTTTCTGTTTTGCAATTTTACAATTTTTTGAATTTCAATTTTCAGATATTTTAATTCTTAGATTATTCATTTCTCTGTTTCCTCGGTTTTTCGATTCGCGACTCTTCTGGTTTTCCAATTTCAATCTTAAAACTTTTCAAATTTTGGATTTTTCCATGTCAAATTTTCCAATATCTTCAGTTGTACGATTTTGTAGTTTTTTAATTTTCCAGCTAGATTTTTTAAGTTTTCGATTTTCCAAATTTTCCTTTTTTCAATTTTGAAAATTTGAATTTTCCGAATTTTCGATTTTTCAATTTTATGATTTTGCAATTTTTGAATGTTCCAGTTGGATGTTTTAAATTTTCGAATTTCCAAATTTTCTATTCTTCAATTGTTCTAGGTATTTTTTTATTTCTCAATTTTTCAGTTTTTAAAATTTTCGAATTTTCAGGCATCAGATTTTCGATTTGTAAATTTTCAATTTCCATATTTTAAATTTTTTAAATGTTCCATTTTTCGATATTTAAATTTTTCATTTTTCAATTTTTAATTTTTAAATGTTTCGTTTTTTATAAATTTTTGTTTTTTAATGTTTTGATTTTTGTATTTTCTGATGGTTCAATTTTAAAACTTTTAGCTGCACAATTTTGAACGTTTTCGAATTCTTAATCATCCAAATTTTTCTATTTTTGTTTCTGAATTTTTCAATTTTGAATTTTTCGATATTTAAATATACGATTTTTCAATTTTTCCTTTCCATATTTTTCAGTTTGTGATTTCTTCGGTTTACAATTCCTGAATTCTGCAATTTTTTGATTTTCTAATTTTTAGATAGGTACTTTCTTTTCTAATTCTTTGTTTCTTCAGTTTTTCGATTCCGATTCTTCTAGTTTTCCATTTTAAATTTTAAAACTTTAAAAATTTTTCGGATGTTCCATGGAGAATATTTCAATTTCTTCAGTTATACGATTTTGCAGTTTTTTAATTTTCCAGCTAGATTTTTTAAGTTTCCAATTTTGTAATTTTTTCAATTTTGAAATTTTAAATTTTTCAAATTTTCGATTTTTCAATTTTATGATTTTGCAATTTTTAAATGTTCCAGTTGGATTTTTTAAATTTTCGATTTTCCAAATTTTCTATTTTCCAAAATATCTATTTTTCAATTGTTCTATTTTTTAATTGCCCAATTTTTAAGTTTTTAAAATTTTCGAAGTTTGAGTCATCCGATTTTTGACTTTTAGATGTTCTATTTCTCTACATATTTTAAATTTGTCAAATTTTCCATTTTCCGATATTTAAATTTTCAATTTTTAAATTTTTAAATTTCCGATTTTTCAATTTTTTTTTATTTTTCAATGTTTGGTTTTTTCATTTTTTGACTTTTGTATTTCCCAATGTTTCAGTTTTAAAACCTTTGGCTTCACAATTTTGAACGTTTTCGTTTCTTAATCATTAAAATTTTTCAATTTTTAGTTTTTGAATTTTTCGAATTATGAATTTTTCGATATTTAAATTTTTTGAATTCACGATTTTCCAAATTTTCAGTTTGTGATTTCTCCGGTTTCGATTTTATATTTTTCAACTTTTTAGCTTTTGAACTTTTCAATTTTTCAATTTTACAATTTTTTGATTTTTCAATTTTTAGATATTTCAATTCTCTGTTTTTCAGTTTTTCGATTCCGATTCTTCTAGTGTTACATTTTCAATTTTAGAACTTTTCAAATTTTAGATTTTTCAGATTTTTCATGAAAAATTTTCCAATATCTTCAGATTTTGTAATTTTATAATTTTCCTGCTAAATTTTTTAAGTTCTCAATTTTCCAAATTTTCCATTTTTCAATTTTGAAATTTTGAAATTTTGAAATTTTCGATTTTTCAATTTTATAATTTTGCGAATTTTAAATGTTTGAGTTAGATTTTTTAAATTTTCTACTTTTCAATTTTCAAATTTTTAATTTTCCAATATCTTGATTTTTAAATTTAAAATTTTTTTCACTTTTTAAAATTTTCGAATTTTCAGTCATTAAATTTTTTGATTTTTGCATTTCGATTTCTCTTTTTTTCAAATTTTCCATTTTCCTATTTTTAGATTTTCGGTTTTTCAATTTTTAAATTTTCGGTTTTTCAATTTTTCGGTTTTCTACTTTTTTGATTATTCAACGTTTCAATTTTTAAATTTTTTAAATTTTCGATTTTTTAATTACTGGATTGTTAATATTTCAATGTTTCGTTTTTTCATTTTTTGACTTTTGTATTACCCGATGTTTCAATTTTATAACTTTTAACTTGAAAATTTTGAACATTTTCGAATTCTAAATCATCCAAATTTTTCAATTTTTCGATTTTGAACTTTGGATATTTAAATTTATGATTTTTCAATTTTTCGTTTCCAAAATTTTTCTGCGGTTATCAATTTTATATTTTTCAACTTTTTAGCTTTTGAACTTTTCAATTTTTCAATTTTACAATTTTTTTGATTTTCCAATTTTTACATATTTTAATTTTTGGATATTCCAATTCTTTGTTTTTCAGTTTGTCGATTCCGATTCTTCTAGTTTCCCATTTTTAACTTTGGAACTATTCAAATTTTAGATTTTTCAGATTTTTCATGAAAAATTTTCCAATATCTTCAGATTTTACAATTTTATAATTTTCCGGCCAGATTTTTTAACTTTTCAATTTTCCAAATTTTCTATTTTTCAATTTTGAAATTTTGAAATTTTCGATTTTTCAATTTTATAATTTTGCGAATTTTAAATGTTTGAGTTAGATTTTTCAAATTTTCTATTTTTCAATTTTGAAATTTTTAATTTTTCAATATCTTGATTTTTCAATTTAAAAATTTTTCAGTTTTCGAATTTTCAGTCATCCAATGTTTTAATTTTTGGATTTCCATTTCTCTATTTTTCAAATTTTCCATTTTCCGATTTTTAAATTTTCGGCTTTCTACTTTTTGATTATTCAACGTTTCAATTTTTAATTTTTTAAATTTTCGATTTTTTAAATTCTGGATTGTTAATATTTCAATGTTTCGTTTTTTACATTTTTTTTACTTTTGTATTGTCCGATGTTCAATGTTATAACTTTTAGTTTGATAATTTTGAACGTTTTCGAATTCTTAATCATCCAAATTTTTCAATTTTTCGATTTTGAACTTTTCGATATTACGAATTAATATTACAAATTTACGATTTTTCAATTTTTCGTTTCCAAAATTTTTCACTTTGTGATTTCTGCGGTTAACAATTTTATACATATTTTTCAACTTTTTTGCTCTTGAACTTATCAATTCGTCAATTTTACAATTTTTTGATTTTTCAATTTTTAGATATATCAATCCTCGTTTCTTCAGTTTTTCGATTCCGATTCTTCAAGTTTTCTATTTTTAATCATAAAACTATTCAAATTTTAGAATTTTTAGATTTTCCAGGAAAAATTTTCCAAGTTCTTTATATTTTGCAATTTTGTAAATTTTGAATTTTCCAAATTTTTAATTTTTTATTTTTGAAATTTTCGGTTTTTCAATTTTATAATTTTGCGATTTTTGATTGTTTGAGTTAGATTTTTTAAAAGTTTGATTTTCCAAATTGTTTATTTTTCAATTTTGAAATTTTTAACTTTCCAATGTCTTGATTTTTCGATTTCAAAATTTTTCAGTTTTTAAAATTAATTTTTCGATTTTTCAAAAACTGTATTGTTAATTTTTCAATGTCTCGTTTTTTACAATTTTTCGTTTTTTCATTTTTTGGCTTTTGTAATTCCCGATGTTTCAATGTTAAAACCTTTTAGCTTCACAGTTTTCGAATTTTTATTCATCCAAATTTTTCAATTTTTTGAT